CTTTCAATATCGTTCTTGAAGACGTGCCATGTCGGGACGTGTGGTGGAATAGCAAAACACAGTAAATATGGATACAGGCAGCTAAATTGCTGGACAAATGCTAGTAGGTTCTAAGAAGTCTTAGTTTTCCTCGTAAAAATGGTCTAAGGAAGGCGAATTCTTCCCATGTTCTCTGGAGGCAAGATTATGTTCATTGTTGATATTCTGTCGGAGCTTTTCGGGCATGGATAAAGGGAAAACCCTCAGATTTCCTCACAACACAAGCTACATTTCCCATTTCGTCCAATGTACCGACGTGCATCCGAATTGTCACGGCAAATCAGTCATGTTAGAAGAGACTGAAAGTAAGTTTTCTCAAAGACTAACTTGATAGGTCTTGTTTTCTCTTGCTTGAGAGGTTGACAACTTCAGATTTTCTCTACCAGATAATGGGCCTGAAGTTTTACAACGCATGCATATCTGAAATGTGAATGAAGGAAAGGTGATGAAATATGGTTTTTTCTGCTGTAATCAGCTTGTCGTAAAGAGAAGTACTGAAGATGCCAGTACTTAGGTGACTTTCTCCACAAGATGCTCGACGTCTTCCATCTCGACCTGGCTTCCTTTCCAATCACGTGGGTCCTGAAACAGCGACTCGATCTGCTCCAATGATTTCCCTCTTGTTTCTGGGACAAGCGCGTAAACAAATGCAACAGAAGCAGCTGACATTGCAGCAAATACAAAAAACGTTCCCCCTACCGTGATTGCTCGAGAAACCGAGAGGAAGGACATGGAGATGAGCCCGCTGCACACCCTATTGCCAACCGCCCCGAGCGCTGCTGCTTGAGCCCGATACCTCAAAGGGAAAATTTCTGAGGACACTACCCAACAAATAGGGCCGATTCCAACAGAAAAGAAAGCTACATAACCACAAACAGAAAGAATCGCCAACAGAGGTGCTGCCCCGGCTACTCCTTCCTTTAACAAAGAGAGAGAGATCCCAACACTGAACAAGCAAGCAGTCATGCCAATTGTGCTAACATAAAGCAATGGCTTCCTCCCGACCTTGTCGATCAGAAATATAGCGACCAGTATAAAAGAAGTCTTGGTAACACCCACAGCAACTGTAGCTGCGAGAAGATTCGAATTACCTTTCATTCCAGCATCTTTGAAAATCTCTGGGCTGTAAATGACGGCGGCATCTATGCCCGTTATCTGTTGGAAGCACTGGATTCCGATACCTGTGATTAGCATCCGTCGTAGAGGAGGAGAAGGGCACAGCAGTTCTTGCCACACGGCTTTCTCTCCGTATTTCCTCGCATTATTACCAGTTCCAGCAGCTAATTGTATTTCTGCAAGCCTCTCTTCAGCCTCTCTCTCGTCTTCGTGTGTCTTCAAAAGAACCAATCTTGCTTCGTCGACACGGTTCTGCATGACCAACCATCTTGGTGATTCAGGGATTACAAAGAGTGCGAAACCGATGAAGACTGAGGGCAAAATCCCAATTCCAAGCATGACTCTCCAGTTTATGTGCACTGAAAGGCCTGCAAATACGTAGTTTGAGATATAACCTAGGAGGATTCCTAGATTCACGAAGATCTCTGGAAAGGAAGTGAGCGTGCCCCAACTGATGGTTGGCGATATTTCGGCAATGTAAAGCGGAGTTATCATGCCTCCAAACCCCATTCCAACCCCAGCCAGCAATCTTCCTATCATTAATGCTCGAAATGAATCAGCAAAGGTCATAACAGCCACGCCCACTTGGAAGACAACAGCAGCCAATGCCATCGTCCATTTTCTACCAATAATGTCTGATGTTCGGCCACCGGCTATGCTACCAAAGAGCGAAATTATGCTCAAACAACCAACAAGGACTTCTATCTGAACCTCAGTTATTCTGAGATCTTCCTCAATGAATATAATTGCTCCACTCATGACACCTCCATCTGCGAGTAGTTGAGCATGTTGATTCATTTTCGACTTAACAAAGTGTTGATGAATCTAACTGAAAGGCGAACAGCTTGCAACAAATTAATCTACCGGAACTACAAGCAAAATCCGCCCACCCACCTACTGGAAAACCATAGATGCACTTAAATCTCATGGTCATGGTCAATGCAAAAACCATGTCACTGCAGCAAATGTTTACATAGAAGTGGACATTAGGCAATAAGAACTTAGCAACTTAGCAATTATTTTTGACGTTGGTAAATTCAATACGATGCTGGTAACTTGATAACATTATTAGCAACTCAAGAAATCTATCAACACCAAAGAATTTCATTATTTTGCCCTAGGGAACCCTAGAATTTCACATCAACATATGTTTGGATGTACTTCAGACCCAATAGCATGCACATAACGGACATATATGTAGGAGTCCTTGAAAAATGCAAAACTAAGGTTACCAAATGAAATTACATTGATACTCAACATATCACCGGTAAGTTGAGTCCTCGAGACATCTCTATTTTTCCCTTGAGGAATCTTCTGAATGACCAATGCCACTCACAATGCTTAGCATTCAATTTGTTTCTAATAATCAAACAGAACGTGAATAACTCGTCTTCCTCTCTCTTTAAAACAAAGGATCTTCCAGTTTTATCACTGCTTGGAACAATATTCTCTTCTCCATGAAACTTTATATCTATCAGAGTCTACAATTTTATTGGAGGACCTACCAAAGATATCACTTTCTAGATTTCATCGTGAAACGAATTGGTTACTTCAAACCACAGTCAAATTGGGGGCGTTTCCCCTTTTCGGGGAGACTTCTATCCCAGAATCATCGATATCTTCAGCCGTAACTCCGGGACTGGGACTTATGGCAATCAAACATTCACAGACAATTGTGCAACTACTGGCAAAAAAAAAAGCAGAAGAGAAACGATGCTGTTACCAACATACCATAGCCTAGGAGGACAGTGTTGAGCGAAACAAAGACCGCACAGGCAAAAACATATCTTCTGGTACTTTTCCTCCTCTCCAACTGACGCTGGTAATGAACCAAATCATTGTCAAAATCATCGCCCTCGACCTCGGAACCCACTCTCTTGTACTCGTTCATACCCTTCAGCGAATCCGCCCTCTCCTTTTCTCCAGCTCCCACCAATCCCATCTTCCTCTTCTCTTCAGTTCCTGGGTTCGATCAATGACATTACAAGAGACTTCCGGTTTTCACATAGAAAAAGACTTGGCAGGTGGGGGGTCAGACTTTCTGTTTTTTTTTATGTCAAGTTCAAGTTCTTAAGTTCTTCACATGTGGACAATCACTTATAAAATAACATCAAGTGGGTGCTTTGGAGGTATCAACACAGCATGTGGGGTGAGTTTATTATAGGAGAATCCCATTGTTTGGCACAATTCTTGCCCTTTACTTCAGTCACTCTGGCTCAGCCCTCTGTGGTTTCCAGAGGTTGAAGGCTAAGAGGGAGTGCACAGAAAGGCAACTTAAACACACACAGCACTACAGCAGCACCGCATGCACAAATTTTTTTACAGAAAGCTAGGCAATCATTAATGGAAATGTCAATCCTCTAGTGAGTTTTTAAGTGTCTCCTTTGGTCTTGAAATGGATGATGGTGATTGCTATTGGAGTATAAAAGAATGGATACAACTAATTTCCGTCGTCATTTCTTTTTGCATCCTAAACTTATAAGAATGGATACAAGAATGAACTGGGAAATTGGATGTGAGGAGTACATTGGATTGACGTTCAATGAAGGCATGTCCCGTGTTGAGGTGGTCAATGGAAACCTCATACCTCATTTTGAGTGAATTACCGTGTTCGGAATTGATGAAAGAAAATTATTTTGTCCAAAAAATTGAAATATTTTTTTCTTTGTGAATATTGAAAATAATAGAGAAATCAATTGTGGAAATTTAATGGAAAACACTCATTCAAACCAAATTGCAATGCAAGTAAATCTTCAAATAATTTGGAAGAAGAGTTACACATAGTGGCACCCTAATAGTGATTAAACAAAGACCAACCGTATCCTTCGCCATGATTCGGATGATACAATATTGTCGCTGTTCTCTTGTTCATATTGGGCACACTCTTATGGAGTCAATTCTTACAACACCCACTATAATAAGCCATTTTTTTTTAAAATTTTTGCAGACAAGCTGGACCTGTTTTCATAATGATTCGTTTGCTAATACTAAACATGGACAGCAGAAGATTCCATAGACGCCAGTGAGGTAAGTCACGAGAAATGTGGAATGAATCGAAAAAGTGGTGGCTAGTCTCTTTTGACGTTACGGAACGTCGTCGCTGTCTTCATCAATTCTATCAACTCCGTGCCTATTAGGCCCATGGGCCTGATCGGGCCCAAGCCTAAAACGAGGCATGGCCTTAGGCCCGGGCTCGATCGCGTAGGCCTCGGGCCGGCACGGCCCGTTGCTCTACCCTAGTCCTTCCTGTAGGTACTTTTCACTGAACCAAAGAAAGTGCCATGATGTGCGAGATTCCTTGGTCGATAGAGTCACCAAATAGGCCAACACCGATACGTACGGCGCTATCCAATCAACACGTTGACTTTAAATCCATCCATTTATGGGGAGGTGCTGTAGGACTGAAAGCCAAGAATGAACCTGCACTCATTCAAAAGTTTAACTATTAACACAGGACAAATAGATTTTATGATTGTTTCGTTCTTTATCAATTCTCCTATGCGAGATTCATGAAAAGCTTAATACTCTCACACGTGTATCTCAGCATGTCATTTACGCGTGCAATTAGCCTAATGTTTTAGGCTCGGTCTTAGTTTTATTTTGACCTAGACCTTCCTATCATTAAATTGCAAAAGAATATTAACTCACGTTGTTACAGAAACGGCTGAAATCGACGTCCCTCTTGCGCTTTTCTCCGAGATCGCACGGAAAATCAACACGTTCCCATTGAAACTCCACTTGGGCGTCACCTCTTCAAAGCAGGAAGAACGAGCGCAAGATAGAGAGAGAGAGAGAGAGAGAGAGAGAGAGAGAGAGAGAGAGAGAGAGAGAGAGAGAGAGAGAGAGAGAGCATGACTTTTGCTTCTGGTTCACACACGCACGCACACCCGGGCATTCTCGATCCGAACTCGACGTTCTTCACAACGGCAGAGACACGAACATCGAACAAACCCAGAACAAAGTCGAAGAAGATCAAGAGAAGTAAATAAGAGGCCTTGCGTTCGTACTGTTGTGTTGTTTGGAGCTGCAGAGAATCGGAGACATGGAGTCATTCGACGCCATGGACACCGAAGCCGAAGAGCACCCCCACGACCCGGACTCGCAGGACCACCGCTCGAGCCCTTTCCACGACGACGCCTTCATGGGCTACGACCCTGCTTTCGCCCCCTCCGATGACGTCTTCGCCAGTGTTCCCCCTCCCTCTGCTGAGGAGGGCGACGTCTTCGGGGACGTCGGTGGTGGCGGGTACGGCGACAGCCAGGCATCGCCTGAGGTCTACGGGTTTGGCGTATCGACCCCGAATCCGGATTTCGTCTCGCCCTTCGAGTCGGTGATGAACGGAGTAGAGGAGGAGGAGGAGGGTGGTGGAGGTCGTTTTGTGTCGGATGGGCCTCTGTTGCCTCCGCCAAGTGAGATGGTCGAGGAAGGTGCCGCTCGACGTGAGTGGAGGCGGTGAGGTTTCTCTTCTATTTATTTTCTTCCTTTATTCTTCTTTTCCTTTTTCTCCAGTCATATTGTTGGGCTTGGTGCAAATGCAATCTGATCATTTGTGTTTTAATGATTGAATATTGGTCAATCTGTCCTGTGCTAAGTAAATTTTCATCCATCAATAGCAGCATATCAAACGCTTCTTAAGAGTGATAAATATGTTGAATTTAATGTCCTTGACAACTACTGCATGGTATTAAGTCTTCATGCATATAGTTCTGTGTAAATTTGAGTAGGAACTTGATAGCTTCTATTCATAAGCGATGATTCTCATTTGTACCAGTTTAGCAGTTGCCGTTCGTAATAAACCAGGAAGGATTTGGTTCTTCAGTTACTTTGGATTTTTCTGTGGGTGTTTAATTTGGTTTCTTTTGTTCTCTGAAAGCATTATCTGACGTTTCTGCTTAGAGATTGCATTGTAGTCCCCTGTGACAACAGTTTGCACTACCCGGCACTTTTCTGTTTTCCAATGAATCTAGCAGAAAATGAGTTCAGATTGGAAGAGAAACCGTAACCACTTCTTGGATGCAGTCAAAACGCCATACAACTCGAGGAAAAGGAGAAGAGGGAGAAGGAGATGCGGGATCAGATTATTGCCGAAGCTGACGAGTATATACAAGCTTTCTACGAGAAAAGGAAGCTCAACTGCGAAACAAACAAGGCCAATAACAGAGAAAGAGAGAAGGTAAAACTTCTATTGAGTAGTCACCCAATCGCTCTCTTCGCACCTTTCACTTACTAATTCTCGATCTTCGTATTACGAAACGCCTAAGAAAACTTTGTTAGGTCACCTCAAGAGCATTACTTGGTTCTTTTATGTCAGCTGTACTTGGCCAACCAAGAGCAGTTCCACAAGGAAGCCGACAAGCATTACTGGAAAGCCATAGCTGAGATCATCCCTCGAGAAGTTCCAAACATTGAGAAGAGAGGGAAGAGGGACGCCGAGAAAAAGCCCTCGGTTGTGGTCGTTCAGGGGCCTAAGCCAGGAAAGCCCACCGATCTTTCGAGGATGAGGCAAGTTTTGTTCAAGCTGAAACAGCACCCTCCACCTCACATGATGCCTCCCCCACCGCCACCGCCCACGAAAGATGGGAAGGAGAAGGACTCAAAGGAAGGGAGCAAGGACAAAAAGAGTGAGAAAATTCCTACAGATGCCACATCTGGTGATGTTCCTGGCAGTGCTGCAGAGAAACCGGCTGCAGAGAAGCCAGCGGCCCCTCCCAAAGTCGCCCCCGATGGTGGCAACCCTGAGAAAGCAGAGGTTCCCGAAGCCCCCAAGGGAGAAAAAGCAGCTGAATCGGGGGCAGCCGCTGCCGAGTGATGCAACTTTTCCAGTCTCTTTTTTTCTCGATTAACTTTCTTTCTCTTCTTTTGGTTTATTTGAATGCTTACTAGCTGCCTCCGGTAGAGAATAATCACAACTTCTTGTAGTGAAGTGCGGAGCTTTTAATCCTACCTTGTTCTAGGTTTTCTGAGGTTTAGGTGGGAAATAGCCTTGACTGCTCTCTTCACATGATCTATTCTTATTCATTAGCTTAACTGATTTATCCCTTTATGTTACTGGTATAATTGTGTGAGCAGAAGATTAATTTGATTCAATAGACCCCCTTTCAGCTCTGGCATGCCTTTTGCCTGTCCTTGTCATGACCCTCTTTGTTAAATTTGAAAACACCAATCTTGCCTTCTTGACGTTGGCCTTTCACCAACGAACATCACTAAATGATGCTGGATTGGAAAAACAAAAATCCTTTCAACTAGCTAGAGTTCGTATTTCGAACTATGGTAGCTATAGCCAGTCGTAATGCTATCGAACTTATTTTTCCCTGGGCCAAGTTTTCCAGTTAAGATATTTTGTGCCCTTGACCACTAAGCTCCACTAGTATATATTCTCGGGCCCCTCGAATCTTCACATTGAGATCCCCTCCTCTCTTCATTGTCAGTGTCAGCACAGTTCCAATCGAAACTTCCTGTCCCGTAAAGAGCGATCAAGATTAGATAGTAGGAGATATGGCGAAAGTAAGTTAGATCCAATCTGAGCGGCACATTGAACATAGCACGAAGAGTGAAGATGATGCTCAAGTAAATGACCATCATAACCGAAGTAGCATTTGCGAGCCAGCTGAGTTTGCTGATGGACACGTACAAGCCTGCCGTGAATGCGGGGACATTTGAGAGCTACCAACAGTGGCAAAACCGCAGTTCCATATGCAAATAGCGCTGCTTGAGAGTCATTGATTTGTGCGTAGAGGAGCATGAGGACCACAACCATTGAATTGAACACGGTGAGCATATTGCATTCAGAGAATACATGGAACATAGTCTTCTTCATCGCTGTGGCAATGCCATGGCCTTGTCCTGTGCCAGAACCGTTATACCCTCCCAGAACTGCAAGACCAGCGGCGAAAGTCACAGTGGCCATGAGTGTTGCCAAGAGCAAGCAGGTGTTTACCGGCCCTTCATGAAGTCTCCTCTTAGAGTCTGAATTCGTCCCACTACAATTTCATGCTCTCGCTCTGGCATAAAAATGACCGAATCTTTACTTTCGGGTATTCCGTTGAACAGCAATATCCTTAGTGTTAGACTCTATCATGGAAGCAAAGGAAAAGACATTGTGCTATGTCTCTGTACATACAGCACATACTATCGGTGTTCGTTGCCATATATGACTTTGAATCAGATTTCAGTTGCATATATTGCTAGAACATACGTCGCCTATGAAAAGAGTGTGCTTTGCACTGGCTACGGATATTATAGAGACCGTCATACCTTTTGGTAGGGATAGCACCTTTTCAAGCGCTCTCGAGCAATGTCAAGCGCCGTGAAGCATGTCTTGGTCACCACCTTGAGATCGACTCTTGTATCCCTCGTGAGAAGGAACAAACCCCCAGATTACCGATACATTGTGGCCAAGTGGAGAGGTGTAGTCCTATCACTGTCCTTTTGATTCACAAGCTTCTCTGCTTCGGGACTTCTGAGTATGTATTCCGCGGCCAAGTATAAGCCATACTTTGCCGAAACATGCAGAATGTTTCGTCCCTGTCTGTTTAGGTACTCACTCAGACACCACGAAAGTAGATCCTTGACTGTCCCAAGCTGATTCATCTTGCAAGCGACGTGAATCGGAAAATTGCCATCTCTGTCATACTCGAGAGCGCTGGTGGTGAATTTTCTCAGCAAAAGCTGGACTCCGTCACCGTGATCAAGATATGCTGCTGAATGTAGCTGCATCTCTCAAATGGAAAAGCTCCTCCTTCCTTTCTGCCATCTCTTTCAGCAGACATTAAAGGCGCTGAGGATCCCAACGACCATGACTCATGGTTTACTTTCTTAGGTGATAATGAATTTGCTGGACTTATGCTAAAAATTTTCTCATGCAGACGTAGCCTGAGCTTTTTCTTATCCTTGGATCAGTGCTTGCAACGACAACATCTCATTTCAGAACTTGAAACTGAAGTTACCCAGATTCCAGTGAGTTGCCGCGGCGCAAACTGGGGTCATGTCCTGAATCCTTGATGGACCAAATCGAACAGCGAGCGAAAGTGTGAGGATCTCCGAGTGCTCGGCTTTGACTGCCAAATACAATGGGGAACTTTCCTTCCTTGTTTGCCCGGTGCAGAGTACCAAACATCAGAGTGACCATTCACCACAGCTTTAGGGGTGAGCGGTTCCGACCCAACTTGGAACCTGGTAGAATCGGTTCCCAGTTTTTGGAACTACGCTGAAACAACTATCTATAAAGAGGTGCTCCTGTTAAGATAATTCATCCCAAAACAAAAATCACAAACCGATTTTCTATTCAACGGCGGAAATAATTTCAACTCATTTTTGAATTTTCACCAAATATAAAAAGACATTGCTATTTTCTTGAAAAATGAGTTATTAGAAAGTGTTTTCCAATTACATCATGTTTGCACGTCAACATCGATGCTTCACTCATATATGTGTTGGACACTAATGACCTACAACATCTCTCTTTTATGGTCATTATATGATTATTAAATGAATTCAAATAAGTAGAAAGTGAAAGTAAAGGATCGGATGGATTTCCTATTATGTTCTTTAATTAGGCATGTGATATCCTTTAGGAATGCGTCTAACGTACCAATTAAAAGTCTTGATATCAAAATGAAACAGCCAAGCATGAAATAGAATTAACATAATTAAATACCATATTCCAAATCGCTATGTGAATAGAAATAAACTACAAGCTTACTAAAATAATCAACGAAGATAACACCTTATTAAAGAGAATAAATCCGACCAAAAAAACAAGAGAATAAATAAATTGGATAATATTGTAGTTGTTGAAATATCTCACATTGCATGCTATGTAGGTTATATACTCTTTATATACATGTGATTTCTCTCCACCTATTGGCTTAAGATTTTGATTCGGATATATATTCTAACATGGTATCAGAGTCAGATTTTGCTCCAATCTACATGTGCATCCATCGTCAAATTCCACAGTGTTACATATTCTTTATAGACATGTGATTTCCGTTTTTATATTGGACTTTCTAACAATTTCCAAGATAATTTGCATCTCATATACTATGAAAATTTATTGACTACTGAAGCTAGAGTTTACAGATTTTCACTGTATTATCGTGTTAGGAAAACAGCTATAGTTATACAATTTAATATTGAGAAAATATCGATTCCAGTAGCTGCAAAGTAAAAATCGAAAATTTGAATTATCCATACTGTGAGGACATCAATGCATAAATTTGTTATTTAAAATTTCATTGAATACAACTTTGGGGAGAATTATTAGAACAACGAAAAATACTAATAACTCTGAAATTTGTAAACTGGTATATAAACGATGATCGCCCTTAACTCAAAATCCAAATTTGAACCCGTTACTCAATCATTAATTAACATACAGATAATCATATAAAGTAAATTGCAAGGTCCTTAATTTTTCAAAATTACAAAGATTGTTCTTGTTCAATAAGCTCAAAACCAAATTCCATAAAAATACACATTCCAAAATTACATGCAACAAAAGTAAGAAAGAATTATTAACAGAATAAATAAAAAGAAAAAAGAAAAAAAGAATATAAACTAATAAATGGTACATTAATAGGTCGACGTGAAAATATAAAAGAATTTAAAAGTACGCTTGAGTTCTTATAAATTAAGTTGAAAATAGAAAAGTTTTTTCTTTAATTAGATTTGAAAATAAAATGATAAAGAGGAAAAAAACGAGGAAAAACTCAACTTCGTAAAAATCTTATGTTCGTTTGGCAAGTGAAGGGTAAGAAAATCTTTGGGAAAATGAAAAAAAAAAAAAGAAGAAATCTTAAAATTGGAGGAGCAAGAGTTGGCGGCTCGATTGACACGTGACATTCTATGGTGGTGGATGCTTGTGGGTTTCTCTCTTTGTATCCCATGTTAATGCATTAGAAGATATATAGAGATATGGATGTATCAGTAGGGAAACCGAGGAGAAAAGGAAGGCGAAAATAAAAGAAAGAAAAAGAGTGGGAACTCTCATTTCATCAAAGGGAATAAGGAAGATTGTGAATAGTTACTAATTGAAAGAACCATTAATCATACAGAATACAAGTCCGATGAAGTTTCGAGAACAGCCATGATCGGAATATACAACCCGCAGACTTTGACTATTGATTGGACCAAAATCCGGACAGCAATGGACGATTCCCAGTTAAAAATGAATAAATGGACGGTTGCAAATTTTTTCCATAAAGAAGGGAAAATTCGTAACACAAAATCTGACAAATCCTCGGACTGCAGATGCCGATAGGGTCACAGCCAGATAGTAGAAGACCACAATGCGCATAGCAGACATGGAGGATGGGAATATCAAGACTGCTAAAACCCCGATGACCATCGCGAGGTAAAGGACTCCGACTGACAGAACAAGGCTCCCGAGCAAAGTAAGTTTGCTCACTGCTACAGTTATGGCCGCGAAGAACGCCACCGACATGCCGGTGAGAGCCATTAGCAGTAATGGCCCTGTTGAGTGGTAAGCTAGCTCTGCAACATAGAAGTCTCTACTGAGACCCCAGAGGAGGACTACGACCGCAAGGATGGAGCTATACATGGCTAACGTGTTGGCGATTACGAAAACCTGAAACACTCCTTTGTGCAAGATGGTCGCCGTTCCCGGGTGGGGATCACTGGAAGCATTGTACCGGCCGGGCAACGTTACGCCTGCAGTGAACGTGACGGAGGCCACAAGCGTGGCCACTACCAATAAAGTATTAACCTGGTCCTTGATCCATTCGGCAGGAGATGATTTGCTCGCTCCAGAATGTTCTTCTCTTGGTGACAGAACGTCTCGACCTTCGATACGCCGTACACCGGCGACAATAAAAAATGCACGTCCTAGTAACTGCAATGTTCAAATCAGAGAATTAGTCATCAATCCCGAGCACATTAGATTCAGTTGAGAGTCAAGACAGCCCACAACCAAAATTGCACTACCGCTGGATTTTTCATCGACAAGCTTCCGGATTCCATGGCCACATCTAGGGCGGTCAACCCATCATTGTTCACAAGCTGCAAGTCGCTTCTCTTGTCGCTCGTCAAGGAGCGCATTACGTTGCAATGGTTGTGCATCGACGCCAAATGGAGAGGGGTGTTTCCACGGACATCTTCCGAATTCACCAGCTTCTCGATGATGACGCGCTTTCTGCGTGCCTTGAGTATCTTTTGCACCATGTAGTCGTTCCCGGCCTTGGCTGCAACGTGAAGAATGTTCTGACCCTCATTGTTTTTTATATCTGCCAGGTCGGGCCACGTGTCGTCTAGTAACTTTTCGAATGTCTAGAAGCTGCTGCCTTCGCAAGTGATGTGAATCGGGCAGGAGCCGTTCTTGTCAGTTTGAAGGGCGAGATAAGGGCATTTCCTCAGTGGGACCTCCGCTTGCCGAAAATACCCAACCGATGCTGCAGCGTGCAGTGGTGTCCCCCCGTCTTCACCGGGCACGTGAAGTAACTTCGGCAGCCGGTCTATAAATATTCTCAATAAACCTGGTATTATAGGTCATACTCGTTTAAATAACTGTTGCTGTTAGTTCCTGCAGTGTCATTTGCTGTTTTGACCAAAAGCTATTATCAAGCTTCCTCTCCAGATTGGACAAATATGAATATTGAAAAAGAGCAAAAAAAAGCAGAGCAATTCACTTACATCTATGCATTCATGGACTAGAACGACACATAAAAAGTATCCATTACCTAATGTCACATCAAATGTAGCCAAAACTGGTGACATGCCCTCTATCTTTTTATTAATAATATTTTGAATTTTTTTATATTTCTTTCTTTTTTTATTTTTTTTTCTTCCTCTTCCCCTTCCTTGACCATGGCCGGTTGCCGGCACCGGCGATCAGCCACAGGCTAGGGCTGGCGAGGGTGTCGCGTCCCTCGCCAGATTCCGCGAGGGCAGCTTGCGGCCTGGGCGAGGGCGGCCCTTGCCGGCCCTGGCCTGTGGCCAGTCGTCGGCTCCTAGCCAGGAATGAAGAAGAAGAAGAAACCAAGAAGAAAGAAGAAAACCAAGAAGAAGAAGAAAAAAAAATTTCTTTTCCATTTCTGATTCTTATTCCCAGAATCAAGAAGTTATTTTTTTTTTACTTCTTGATTTTGTTCCAAAACTGCATCTGGGAACAAATTTTTGCAAATTTGTGCCCGGAAACAAAAAATTTATTAAACGGATTTCTGTTCAAAAACTGATTCTGAGAACAAAATGATAGAAATAGTTACTATTTGGCAACTTGCCAAACATGCCCTAAGCCCCACTCCGAACCACTAGGCTGAGTATATATCTCGGCCCCCTCGAGTCGTCACGTTAAGATCCCCTCCTTCTTCATTGTCAGTGTTGGCACAGTTCCGATCGAAACTTCCTGTCCCATAAAGATCAATCAAGATTAGGAAGGAGGAGCTATGGCGAAGGTAAGTTAGATCCAACCTGAGCGGCTCATAGAACATAGCTTGAAGAGTGAAGATGATGCTTAAGTAAATGACCCCCATGACCAAAGTAGCATTCGCAAGCCAGCTGAGTTTGCCGACGATCACGTACAAGACTGCCGTGGATGCCAGGGACATTCGAGAGCTACCAACAGTGGCAATACCGCGGTTCCACACGCAAATACCGCCGCTTGAGGGTCATTGATTTGTGCATAGAGGAGCATGAGGACCCCGACCATCGAGTTGAACATGGTGAGGGTATTGCATGCGGAGAATACATGGAACATAGTCTTCTTCAATGCTGAGGCAACGCCATGGTCTTGTGGGAATTGGAGACCCATCAATCCGACACACAACTATCTAAAAAACGGTGATCTTGAAAAGATAATTCATTCCATAACAAAAAAACACAAACCAATTTTCTATTCCAAACAGTCAATATCATTTTTCAACTCATTTTCGAATTTTCGCCAAACATAAAAAGACATTGCCATTGCCATTTTCCTAAAAAATGACTTATTAAAAAATGTTTTTCAATTATATCATATTTTCCTTAAAACAAACGGAGTTTTTGTACTGTTTGCACGTTGGCATCAATGCTTCACTCGGATATGTGCGAATCAGTATTAAGGACGCTGATGACCTACAAGATCTCTTTTTTACATTTATTATGATTAATGAAATAATTCAAATAATAAGAAAGTGAAAGTTAAGGATCGGATGGATTTCCTATTAAGTTCTTTAACTTGACTGTTGACATGTGATGACCTTGGGGAATGCGTCTAAGGCATCAATTAAAAGTCTTGATATAAAAATGAAAAAGCTAAGCACGCAATAGAACTAACATAATTAAATACCATATTCTAAATCGCTATCGGAATAGAAATGAACTACAAGCTTACTATATAATCAACTAATATATTTACCATTTAACTATAGTAAATAAATTGGATAATACAATCGTTGTTAAAATATTTTATATCGCTTGACTATGGGTTATGTTATCTTTATATACATGTGATTTCTCTCTACTTATTGGCTTAAGATTTTAAGTCGGATATTCTAATATGGTATCAGATTTTTCATGCTCTACTCCAGTCTAAATGTGCATCTATTGTCAAATTCCACGAGTTGCATACTCTTTATAGACATGTGATTTTTGCTTTTTGGTTGGACTTTCTAACAATCTCTAAGATAATTTACATCTCATATACTATGAAAATTTATTGACTACTGAAGCTAGAATTTACAGTTTTTCATTGTATTATTGTCTTAGGAAAACGGCTATACTATCCAATTTAATATTGAGAAAATACCTACTCCAGTAGCTGCAAAGTAAAAATCGAAAATTTGAATTTTCCATATTGTGAGGACATCAATACATAAATTTTTTTATTTAAAATTTCATTAACTTTGGGGAGAATTATTAGAACAACGAAAATGACTAATAACCATGAAATTTGTTAACTGGAATATAAACGATAATTGCCCTTAACTCGAAATCCGAAGTTGAACACGTTACTCAATCATTAATTAACATATAGATAGCCATAGAAAGTAAATTGCAAGGTCCTTAATCTTCAAAATTACAAAGATTATTCTTGTTCAACAAGCTCAAAACCTAATTCTACAAAAATACGTATTCCAAAATTACATGCACGAAAAGTAAGAAAGAGTTTTTAACAGAATACATAAAACGCAAAAAAAGAAAGAATATAAACTAATAAACGGTACATTTATAGGTTGACGTGAAAATACAAAAGAATTTAAAAAATACTTAAATGCTTGTAAAATAAGTTGAAAATAAAAAAAAAGTTTTTTTCTTTAATAAATTTTAAAATAATATGATAAAGAGGAAAAAAGGAAAAACTCAACTACATTAAAATCTTATGTTAGTTTGGCAAATGAAGGTTATTTTTGGGAAATGACAAAAAAAGAAAACTAAAAGTCGGAGGAGCAAGAGTTGGCGGCTCGATTGACACATGGCATTCTACGATGGATGCTCGTGGGTTTCTCTCTTTGTATCCAGTGTTAATGCGTTAGAAGATACAAATATATGGATGTATTAATAGGGAAATGGCTACGCTTTTTTCACATCTCTTTTTACTTTAGACATCGTTTATTTTTGTGTTTTGACCGTACTAACCCTTGTGTGCCCATGGGTCGTGACGGTAGGATACTGCGCTAGCCCCCCTCGAGGACTAGTCGGGCATCACCGCTGGTTTGAGCCCTAGCTCGCCGGCCGCGCGGACACCTCGATTATAAAAAAAAAAAAAACCCCTGTGTGCCCACCACTTTAGTTACAACTCTAACTTTTTTGTTTTGTTTTTTCTTTTTCTTTCCTTACGGATGTCACCTTCCTTTTTCTTTTTACTTCTCTGTTAGAGACAATACTCTCTTTCCATGCCTTTTGATGTCTGTTCTCGTCCCTCTGTTCATGAATTTGAGTGAGCATATGAACCTATAAAGGCTAAGAACAGCTGATGGAACCTTGATCTTCCTAGTGAGAGGCTTCCAAGATTTGTCCGTGAAATCCTTCATGCTCATTCCACCATCATAAGCATCCTCCTGGTCTTCTTTTCACAGCCACTGCGTGTGGTCGAAGTTCCTAGTTTGGCTCCTCAAGCGCATTGACCTATTTGACTTCATCAAGGACAAGCTACGGTCCATCTTCGCCCCACCGTTCCTACTGCCACCCTTGTCACCTGGCCTCTGTATTTTGGAGCCACACCGGGTTGATTTGTACCCTCTTGAAGCGTCCTGTTTGGATTTCGAGGATGTGCTCAATCCCATCGACTCTGCCATCGGCTGGTTGTTTTTATGTGTTTGGCATGAGGATTGTTTTAGCCCAAGAACTTGCTAGACATGTCCAATGCGTCGTCTCGGGACAAACTGAAGATGTGGTGGTGGGACATATGTCTTGAGAACTTGACAACCTGAGGCACGTGCCGGCGACGACATGGAGGATGATCATTTTGTGGGACTTATTGAGGTTGCCATTGTATATTCACCTTGTCTTTGTGCATTCAATTTTTATTAGCGTGAATGCAAGCCAACTATGGGATTTCATGGGACTGTGAAGTTGAAATTTAGAGAAGCAATACAACGTCCTGAATTGCAAAAGAATTGTGTTGAATGTGGGATCCGCAAGAGAATTGCCTGCAAGGGAGAGAATAGAGAGAAGTTAGAAGAAGAAGAAAAGTGAGACTTGCAAGAAAAGAAAAAGAAAAAGAAACAAAAATAGTGAGTTGAAACAAAAGTGATGGGCCACGCAAGAGTTAATATGGTTAAAACATAAAGATATTAAGTGTTTAAGTCAAAAGAGGAATAAAAAAAGCGTGGCGGCCACATTGGAAACTGAGGAGAAAAGGAAGAAATAAAGAAAGAAAAAGAGTAGGAACTCCTTTTTTATCAAAGGGAATATAGAAGATCGTGAAGAGATCGTGAAGAGTTTCTAAAGGAAAAAACCATTAATCAGACGGAATGGAAGATTCGCAATGAATGGGTGATCGGTACAGAGTTTGATGAAGTTTTGAGAAGGACTGCCGTAATCGAAATATACAAGCGCAGACTCTAACTACTGAAACAGAGTACAAACGAGAAAATATTGGGTCGGCCTGATATGCCACGTATGTAGTAGGCCAATTCCATTAGCTAGCCACCACGTGTCTTAGTGAGATCCCTTTTCAGATTTTTTAAGGGAACATATCACCAAAAATCTCAAATTATACTTATTGTAACGCATTTATCTAAAAAAAATTTTGTGACATAAAAAATTCCAAACTATAGTCACCGTGAAATATTTATCCTCCGTTATGGTTCTATTAAAAATTATCGTTAAAATCTATTGTGGCTTCAACATGTAGCTGATGTGGCGTCAAGTGAGCCCAATTATAAAAAAAAAAATAGAAATTAAACCTAAAAAAAAAGAAAAACTGAAGCACTGTAATCGTTGTTACTGTTCATCACTGTCCTCTAGCGCTCGTCCATCACTGTCTAGAGCCGCCTGGACATTGGGCTATGTATAATTCATATTTTTTTTCTT